CTTACGAACGGGGCTTTCTCGCCCCGGAGCTCGCAGGTAGCAATCCGCCACCTCGACCTCCGGGACGAGAAAGCCCCGTTCGTAAGTGCGGATCCGACATACGTCGGATCCGCGTAAGTCGGGGACTGCCTGTACACAAAACAGAAGGTCTATGTCTACACTCGCGGCTTCTTGCACAAGAACATCTTGCGCAAGGGTTCTTGTGCAAGAAGTCTTGCGCAAGAAAACATCCACACTGCCATGTGCACGCTGTGCTTTTGCACAAGAGCTCCCATGGCAGTGTGGACGCTCTCTTGTGCAAGAAAGCTCCGATGGCCATTTTAGCCATAGGGATTTCTTGTGCAAGAAATCCCTGCCGAGTGTCCACACTGCCCTCTTGCACAGGAGCTCCTGCACATGAGGGCTTACACCAGTTAAAAAAGAGTGTAGCTCTTGCGCAAGAAGCCCTTTCTTACCACGCCATACTGTAAATTTCCTTGCGCAAGAGCAGGCGGGCAGTGTGGACGCTCTGCGGATTCTTGCGCAAGAAGCCACAAGTGTAGACATGCTGCTATTCTTAGATTTTGATTTATTCCATCCTATAACCTACTGAAGACTGTTAGGAACAGATCCTCAAAAGATACGTGGGCACCTATTTTCCATCACAGTCCGTGAGAGCTGTGTATCTAAATACCTTTGAGGAACTGGACCAGAGGCTCTTGTAATGTGTGTGTTTCCCTTTCAAGGAACAGTGAGCAGATTGATCAGTGAGTTCAGAATCAGAAGAATTGCTATTCTAACTCTGTTACTAATTAGCTTTATGACCTGAGACAAGATACTTAACCTCAGTGCTTCTACTGCATCTTCTGTTGAGATTTTGAGAGTTACAGTTGAATGTCAATGTAATGTATACAAGTAGTTACGTATTATCTATGTGGTAGGCAGTATTTGATAATAATGGGAAGGCTTTTCTTCTGGTCTAACAAAATGGTTCCTAAGAGCTCCCTCATAGGGTACGTCTAGACTACCGGGTTTTGTCGACGGAAGTTTTGTTGACAGATACTGTCGACAAAACTTCTGTCGACCATAGAGCGTCTAGACACATTCAGTTCTGTCGACAAAGCAAGATGCTTTGTCGACAAAACCCTGTAGTCTAGACGCAACCCTACAGGCAATAAATAACACCTTCTTTCGACAGAACTCTGTCGACAGAAGGTGTTATGCCTCGTAAAATGAGGTTTACCAGCGTCGACGAAACTGCTGAGTTCTGTCGACGTTATGTCG